TTTAGTTATATCATTTATAATTTGAATAAGATTACAACGCCAATAGACTTCGGGTAATCAAAACATGGTTTTATTCATTACATCAGATCGGATTTTTCTTCTTCAGGAAACAGGCAGACGAGAATAAATAGCAACACAGAAGCGAACAATAAACGATAGAAATGGCTAAACAAAAATTTAATAATTAACCCAAATTCTGAACAATTATGAGTAACATTAGGATAAAACATCTAAATACTATATATTGACCCAGGACGCGTTACTTATCTCCCCACCATCAGACTCTCCATCGCTCATGGCATTTAGTGCTTCTTATACCTCTTCAGCATTCATAAATCGCCTTCTTTTACTCTTTTATTTCTGAAACTGATAACTGCTAATTCAGTGAGTGAAAGAGTGTAGAGATGTACAATGATAAAACATAAGCTGCACGAAAATGACAGAAAATGACATTTGACCCGCGCTGGCACTTAAAGGCATAAATGCCCCGTTTTGTGATCTGGTTTTATCGAAACAATTTTTAACAACAAGGGATTGTAAATTACACAATTTTAGTAATAGTCAGTGACTGGGAGACTTGAATGTTTTATTAAAAATCTGTTTTGTACATTTGAAAAACAGCCACGGGTAACATTTACCCCTGTGGCGGTTCTAGTGTTAAAGAAAATAAATGTTATTCAGTCTCAAGCTTGCAGCACATGCTATAAACTGCATTCATTCAGTGTGAACGGAGCCGTTCTGAGGCGCGGAAAACACCGGATCACGAGCTGATCGCCTCAACAATGTGTGCGCTTCGAAACGCGCAGCCAAAACATGATGAGATGAAGGCATTAAGGCATATTGTGCTTTCGGCTTTAGTTCGTTTGACAGATACTGTACTGAAAATGTTTAATCGTTTCATATCGCCATGTGACCACGATAATATCGAGACACACTATCACGTTTACACACCGCCTCCGAAACTTTCGTCCGTCATAAAAAAATTTGGATCGGGTTCGATTTGCGTGTTTCGCATCGGTAGCAAGCATTTTGAGAGGTGTTTTGACAATTCAGAGCCACTGTACAAGCGAACACCAAAATCCAGATTGGTGATTGTCACGTTGATCCACTTCGTCTCGCAGCACAGAGCACTGTATATAGATCCTTGCACACTGAGTTCACAGAAATTGGGGGTCTTCTTTTTACTATGTGGCTCTAGTATCGCTGGCAAACTGAGCCACTGACATCCTGAAGTAAACTTTGAATCGCCCGTGATAATCCCGCTGCTCCTTAATTTATTTTTATTTAATTATATTTGATTTATTTACTTAAATCCTTATTAGGAGGGGAATTCTCCGTCCTCTCTCTATCTCAGGATTGGATGGACCCAATATTTCCTTTCTTTTTGTCTTTTTAAGAAGCGAGAAGACAACAAAGTCATCCTCACTGCCTGAAGACTCCATTTAGTACTGTTTTGCCATTTTTTTCACAACATATTGATTAATACGCATCAGACTCAGTGTGCAAGGTTTCTTTGTGTGACGAACTTTTAGGATGACGAATACGAAAACATGCATATGAAATTTTCGGACTCTGTGTGCAATGACCTTAACTATAAGCTCTGCTTTAGCGAACTTAAGTCTTAGAACATCAAAGATGTGAAACATGAATTGTTGCAGTCTAATCCTCTTATTGTTGTTCATAACATATTGTTGTAATAGTTTCTACTGTCTGTATAAAGTTCATCAGTACACACTTATCCATAAAGAACTATGTTTATTTTTTTCTGTTTTTCTTGTGAAATCTGATCATAGGTCTCTTAC